AAAAAAAAAAAAAAAAAAAAAAAAAAAAAAAAAAAAAAAAAAAAAAAAAAAAAAAAAAAAAAACACCTGAAATGTTCTTCTGTTTCTACGTCTCTGGCGAGCCTCTTCTTTGTCACTTTCCCCTTACACCCTAAAAAAATAAAAAAATAAAAAAAAAAAAAAATAAAAATAAATAAATAAATAAATAAATATATAAATATAAATATAAATGTATAAAACAATAAACCCTAAACCCTAAACCCTAAACCCTCAACTCACCAGCGAAAGGGCAAGGGATCGATTCCTTGTTTTTGCTGCACACACAACACAAACCCTAAACCCTAATAAACCCTAAACCCTAAACCCTAAACCCTAAAACTCTAAACCCTAAAAAAAAAACCCTAAACCCTAGAAAACCCTAATCCCTGAAAAGCCCTATAAAACCCTAAAACCCTACTAAACCCTGAAACCCTACTAAACCCTAAAACCCTGCTAAACCCTAAACCCTGCTAAACCCTAAACCCTAAACCCTAAACCCTAAACCCTAGAACAGACAGAAGATGAAGGATAGCTTCTTGCTCGAAGACATGGGGACAGGCAGAAGGCAAAGAACTCCACCTAAAAAAAAAAAAAAATAAAATAAAATAAAATAAAAAAAAAAAAATAAATAAAGAGATAGAAATAAATAAATAAAAAGAGAGAAAGAAGAAAGAAAGGAGACAAAGAAAGAAAAGAAAAGGAGACAGAAAAAAAAAGAAACAAAAAAAAAGAAACAAAGAAACAAAAAAACAGCTGCGACAGATACACCTGCTGCTATTACTCCTGCTGCTACCGCTGCTGCTGCTGCTGCTGCTGCTGCTACCGCTGCTGCTGCTGCTGCTGTTGCTGCTGCTGCTGCTGCTGCTGCTGCATACCGCTGCGAGAGGGGATGCTTGAACTCCTCCTGGGTGAGGGGGCAGCGAAAGAAGACCAGGTCAGGCTCAGCAAGCCGAGTTGCTGCTGTTGCTGCTGCTGCTGTTGCTGCTGCTGCTGTTGCTGTTGCTGCTGCTGCTGTTTGTTTTGGTTTTGCTGCTGTCTGTCTCCTTGCTGCTGCAGATGGAATGGAGACTGCGCATATGTCTCCTTCTTCTGTCTCCTCTGCTGCTGCTGCAGGGCCTGTTAGCAGCACCTGCTGCAGCAGCAACAGCAGCAGCAGCAGCAACAGCAGCAGCAGCAGCAGCAGGAGCAGCAGCAGGAGAAAATACAGTTGAGGCCGGTGCTACAGCAGCAGCAGCAGCAGCAGCAATAACAGCAGCAAACACGATGCAGGCTACAGCAGCAGCAGCAGCAGCAGCAGCAGAAGCAAATGAGAGAAGAAAAAAGGAGACAGATAAAGAGGAGACAAATAAAGAAACAAAAAAGGAGACAAAAGGAGACAAAAAAAAATAAATAAAAAAGAAACAGAGAGAAATAAAAATAAATAAAAAAGAAACAAACAAAAATAAAAATAAAAATAAAAATAAATAAAAAAGAGACAAACCCTAATGAGCTCCGAGGGTTTAGGGTTTGGGGGTTTATCCCCCCAAACCCTTTCTAGGGTTTTTGCTGCATCTATAGACAGATAAATTATTTTTTCTTCTGCTGCTGCTGCTGCTGCTGCATCTGCTGCTGCTGCTGCTGCTGCTGCTGTTGCTGCTGCTGCTGCTTCTGCATCTGCTGCTGCTGCTGCTGCTGCTGCTGCTGCTTCTCCTGGGGGGGGGCGAGGGTTTACATCGGCAGCAGAAGAAAAACCTGAGTTGCTTGCTGCAGCACCCGCACCCACCAAACCCTAAACCCTAAACCCTAAACCCTAAACCCCAAACCCCAAACCCTAAACCCTAAACCCTAAACCCTNAAACCCTAAACCCTAAACCCTAAACCCTAAACCCCAAACCCCAAACCCTAAACCCTAAACCCTAAACCCTCACCAATAGCTGTTGCTTTGCGGCAGACAAAGAGCAGCAACGACAGCAACTCGTCAGCTACTGTCTCTAAACCCCCGAGCGCCTCCTCCACCTCCTGTACATACACCACAAACCCTAAACCCTAAACCCTAAACCCTAAACCCTAAACCCTAAACCCTAATTTCTGAGTTTCAATAGACTTACATCGTCTAGAGAGCTCGACATACACCCCAAAACCACCGCAGGGTTACAGCAGCAAACAAGCAGCGGCTCCCAGGTGTATGTACACCTGAATCTGAGGGTTTAGGGTTTAGGGTTTAGGGTTTAGGGTTTAGGGTTTAGGGTTTTTTTATGGAAAAAACAAAAGTTTTTTTTCTCGCTGCATGCATGCGCCAATACAACCAGCCCCATCAGCAACACCTCTACCACTGGGGGCTGGGGTTTACTAAACCCTAAACCCTAAACCCTAAACCCTAAACCCTAAACCCTTGAGTGTGTTTATGTGTTTTTTGTGTGTTTTTTTGTTTTTATTTTGTTTATCTTTCTCTGCATGCAGATGATAGAAGGTGGGGTTTAGGGTTTAGGGTTTAGGGTTTAGGGTTTAGGGTTTCTTTGTTTGTCTTTGTTTGGTGAGCTGCTGTTCTCTTCTTCTTGCTGCAGTTGGTGGTTGCTGCTGC